GAACCCTTGGGTGTGTGTGAGTTCTGTGAGGCGTTACAGCGAAATACAGAACCCTAAGACTGGGGAAATTACTGGGAGGAGGAGGAGGAGTTAATGTCTGAAATTATGGAATGGCATGGTAGTTTAGACATTTGGGACATCTTGACCTCCGCCTCATGGGGACCAGCCTCGTGCTGATCTTTCTAAGAGAAATTGTTCAAGCACCTGTTATCACCTATCTGCTGTTAATCTCGTGAAAACGAAAAAAAAAAACCAAAAAACCTCACTGCCATCAAGTCAGATCCAACTCATAGCGACCCCTCCTTGGGTTTCCGAGGCAGTATCACTACAGAATTAGTTTGCCCAGTCTTCCTTTTGAGGAGTGTTTGTAGGTTTGAACCGCCAGCCTTTGGGTTATCAGTCAAATGCTGTAGCCAGACCTCCTTGTTAATCTCCTTAAGGAATTTTTAAGTTTATTATATATTTCTGCTGAGATTTCTTATCTTTATATTCATTAGAAGTATAGTTATTTGTACACTTTAAAATTTTTCTCTGCTAATTCTAACTTCTGGTTCATTCAGTGTTGGTCTCTGCCTCTTTTCTTTTGAGAATGGATCACATTTTTCCTGTACTTTAAATATCTAATAATTATATATTTTATCCTGGATATGGTGAATGTTATGGATATTCTGAAGAGTGTTGATTTTTTTTTGTTAACTTATTTCTTTTTAGCAGAAAATTAACTTCTTTTTTGGATTGCAAAGATTCTGTCACTATAATTATGGCTGAAATTTCAACTGAATACTTTCATCCTTAGCTGGTTGGAGTCTCCCCTTCATATGCATTATTTAGAGTTTAGCCAGAGATTTGTGTAGAATTTATATGTAGAATTTTGGGCTCTCATTACTGACTCTCATTCAGGATTCCTCTTTTATTTTCTGGTTGTTGTGATTACCCTGTGTGTGTATTCTGTTTTTTTTTTTTTTTTTTTTTTAAGGCCAGAAAGCCTACAGGTTTTCTGTTAGAGTGTAGCTGTCCTGCATGATCTACATCTGGGTCTGCACTCAGCATGGAAATTGATAAAATGGGAAACTTTCTCTTTTCTGTTTTCATTTCTCCAAGTGTTGGCACTCCTACAGAATCTGCATTCTTTGGTTACTCTCCAGTGCCTTTTGTAGGTGTTTTTCATAATTGTTGTTTCTAGCATAGTAGGTCTGGTAGAGGGTTTCTTGGTAATACTGTAAGCCAGCAGGACCTGAAAACTTTAGTTTTGAGCACATGATGTATCCTGCCTAGTATTGTCATTCATTTTATACAAAGGACTAGCTGGATTAGAGTAGAGTGAATGAATAGTTTTATTGCAACAATTAGAAATAAGATTGACTACATATGGAAGCAGAGAGTGTAGGGATAAATAAAACCCTATCCTTAGGATTACATTAGATATATTTAGGTTTTATCTGAGAGGACTTGATTAGTCAAGACTTGATTTGAACTTTTAAGATTTTCACTTTTTAACTGAACCTTAATTTACTGCAAAATTGCCACTGTATATTTCCTTCATACATCATTTTAACTGAGGGCATTTATTCATAATCATATTCAGATGATTGCTTCACACAATTGTTTAATTTATGACTAAAGCTAAGGAGTCCTTTTCTATTAGATAATTTTTAGATATGTTTACATTCTGTTATGAAAAATACACACAAAATTTATTTAATAAAATCTACTTATTCTAGATCCAGGTCAAGACCTCGCCCACGTTCCCATAGTCGAAGCAGTGAAAGGTCCAGTCACAGAAGAACCCGAAGTCGATCTCGAGATAGAGAACGTCGTAAAGCCAGAGATAAGGAGAAAAGAGAAAAGGAGAAGGATAAGGGAAAGGACAAGGAATTGCACAGCATCAAACGTGGGTAAGTTGAAACAAATCTTAAGCAGTGATGACTGTGATTCCATGGCAGTATTCAAACAAAATTTTTTTCTCTGAGGTTTTTCTTGTTTTCAACTTTGTGGCTAAATTGCTGGAAGAGTGGAAGAGGATGGGAAAAAAGATAAAATACAGTAGAGAAAGATGAAAAATTAAATATAAAGATAGTTATCTTAGATTTTTACTGTGGTACTTTTTCCATTTCTGTTTTCATGTAATACTAATATAACAAAGTTTAGAAACAGCATAAAGAGCAGTATTACAGCTTGGTATGTAAGTAAAGGAAAATTTAAATAATTCTTCAGCTGAGTTCTGCATTCATTTTTCTTTTTTATGAATATGAATTTAAAATTTGAAAACTGTTAATGATTAACAGTTTTTATTAGTTTACTGTGAAGCTGTTAGGGGAAAAGGATAAAGGTGAAAACATAGAGAGGAAACCATATGCTTTATTTTTGGTTGTTCTGTGCCGTGGAGTTGATTTTGACTTATAGAAGTCCTATAGGACAGAACTGCCCTGTAGGGTTTTCTAGGCTGTAATCTCTGCAGGATCAGATTGCCAAGTCTTTTCTCCCATGGAGCTATTGTTAGGTTCGAACTATACTTCTTTCATTTGGGAGCCAATTGCTTAACGATTATGTCATCAGGGCTCCTTTTACTCTTGGTTATACCTCTTTTAATATAGATTGGGAGCTTGGTCAATTTTAGGGTGTGTGTGAGATGTTAATAACTATTTATTGATTAGATTGGTGGCACAGTGGTTAAATGCTCAACTGTGAACCAAAAGGTCAGTGGTTCAGACCCACTAGCTATTCTGCAGGAAAAAGATACGGCAATCTGCTTCTGTAAAGATTACAGCCTTGGAAACCCTATGGACAGCTCTCTGTCCCATGTTGTTGTTGTTGTTGTTAAGTGCCATCGAGTCGTTTCGGACTCATAGCGACCCCATGCACAGCAGAACGAAATACTGCCCGATCCCGCACCAGCCCCACAATTCC